TTTACGGAGGCTGATCAGAGTGCAGTAATGCAACACCTTGTTCATCCTGACGCCCGGGCGTTTCAGCCAAGGCACAGAAAGCGTTAATCTTCTCACCGAGGTGGAGTACCAGGAGCGCTCTAGCCCTGGAGTCAGAGCGCTCTACATGCCTTGCCAGTGTGGATGGGTAGAAAGCTAGGGTGTCCGGGGCTGCTTTAATGCACTCTAACTTGCAAGTGTAGCCAAGCCCTTAGTAGGAATGTCATTACAAATGGTTACCTGAGCTTAACATAGGTTATCAAATTATACTGGGGACTTGTGTGTGTTTTTTAAAAAGGGCCTGACATTCAGCTGGCTTGCACTATGGGTAGTCACCTTCACTTTTTAAAATGAGTGAAATATGCTTCCCTCCGGTCTGGAGTCAGGCACTGGAGAACTAGTGGCAAGAGCTCGTCCTTGCGGATATAGATGATCCTATATTTACAGTTCTGCCTTATGATGCTTATCACATAATTCATGCTAAATGTAAATGTGAGATTTACTATTCTACATTCTTTTTACACTGAAAACGTTAACATATTATTTTCATTCCTCTTCTATAGTATGTCATGAGGAACAACAAAGTGGTGGCGCAGAGCAAGAAGCTATGGACCAGTCAAGACTTATACTTCAAGAGTGTAAGTATAAAAAGGGTTTCTAAAGTACCATGCATAGCACTTTAAATTGTAGAAATTAATACTCGTATCTTCACACAGTGAGGAGAATGAGGGACAACATCGATATGCTTCTTCTGAATCAGCAAAGTCAGCTACAGGTCCTTCAAGAGATTCAGAAACAGCTGAATGTCCTCCTCCCAGGCAATGATCTCATTAATTCAAATGTGTACAGCTTGGGACTTCTGTTAGGACAGCAGGCAGCTGCTATGGCCTCTTTGCCTTTTCCCCTTCTTCTTAACCCCAGTAACCTTCTCCCAGAAAATGCCCGGCCTTTTTCCTCTCAGGTTTCATCCCAGTCATCTACTTCTGAAATTCTTGCTACTGCACAACCTCCAATCTCTCAACTTCCTGCTGCTCCGACAACTGCCTGATCCATCCTCCTTGTACTGTAAACATGGCAAACAAAATGTTTATATATGTACCTGTCATTCTGATTTACCCTGTCTGAGACAAATATGGCTTTTATATTGTAGAGTTACAGTTGAGAGGCCTTTCAAGTGCTATAGCACTGACCCTGCTCTTAATCTCTGAGGCACCCTTTACTGAGATGCAGTCAGTGAACATAGGGGATCAAATCAATCACACATTTGCTTACTGTAGTAACTGGTTTAATACCAAGGATGGATTTGTCCCAGGCAGCCTCTATTAACAGAGATGTTCTTCATGGAGATGCACCTAAGTAGAGCATCCTTATCTGAGGTGCTCTTAGCTAATGTGTCCCCAACTGTATGAGGTGTATTTAAGTGGCCCTTGTTTGAGATGTCTTTAAAATGCACCTTGTTGATGCACTCTTAATTTCAGCTTGCTACTCCTAAAGCATCCTTGATGCTTGTGCTCTTAAATGAGGTGAATTTAACTAACGGTTCTTAAACGTCTCTAAGCAAGGGGCTCAGAATGGAGGTGTCCTTGACACACTTAACTAAGGCTTCCTTAATTTAGGTGGGTTTAAATAAAGTGACCTGAACTGATTACCACTTAACTAAGCATCTCTACTGGCTGGCCTCTCTGATAAAGCTATAAATTTTGGTGCTGTTTCTTACTCCAAGACTTCTCCATGAGAAAAGGCTTATAAACTTGCATTGGTTTTAATATAGCGCTCTGGTTTGTGTTTTAAAATGTTACCATGGTTACAGTTAATCTATTCTTTAAATATCCCACATTTTCCTGTATGGAAAATGTGGTGCTTGTTAGTGTTTAAGTAGGTATTTAAATCTTTGATCTAGTTAATTAGGGTCTAGATAGTGGCATTTAATCCCAGCTCTTGAGTTGGTCTCACAAGGCAAAGAGGCACAAATTTGCAGGGAGAGCAGGCTCACTCCCACCTTAAGGCTGTTTTCCAGTGCCCTTTGAAGTCAGCAGAAGTTGCCTCAGGCCCTGAGAGGCTACAGAACACAGTCTGGTCATACCCCTCACCACCCTGTTGCAAAGGTTAGTACCAGCATTGACACTAGATTGAAGCATTCCTGAGTATAAGGATTCCCTTTGTGACAAACCCCCATATGAATGGCTATGGGGATAAAGAAGCCCTTTACCTTTATGGGCCTGTGAACATGCCAAGTGTGATCTAGCCCTTCATCTTTTTATTTATTAGGTGTGTTGAAATGACACTTCTTCACCTATCACTGTTTATTTTATAGGGCTAGATTTGACTCCCTTACTCATGTTTAGGAGCACCTCGCTCTTACAGTTGTGCTTAGCAACATAAATGTGTTATCTTTGAATTATAAACACAAGTTGGTTGTGACTGCACATAGGTTTCTGTGGACTCTCTTAAATCAATTTATTTAGAGTAAGTCCATTCCTTACTGACTTCAGTTAAATAAATTTAAGCCACTTCTACATGAGAGCGCAGAATACAGGTTTGCATCAGCTTAACTAAACCTTGTGTGTAAACAAGGTCTTAAACAACATTCCATTGACGTAAGCTTTTACTAACAGTCCATCTTTCATGAGTTGAGCATGTCCCATTGTAAGTGTGTAAAGCTGAATTTTATGGCTCTATACATGTGCCTCTGGTTGCAGTTTGCCTAGTGATTCTGACACTGTCTCTTGCTTTTAAAAGACTTTTTTTTTTTAATAATGGTTCTCACTTCAGTGTTTTTAAATTTCTTCAAAAGTAGGGAATTAAAATATTACATTTTCTTAGAGTAGATAATTCTAAATCTGTCTGCAGTGCTTTTTCTGTCTCTTTTGTGGCCAACAAGGGAGATAAAGAACTAGTGCACTTGTGAATCAATTGCTTTATTGGGGTTTGAGCATGCTACTTAAGGATCATGCTGTGCAAAAAGGAGAATCTGTTTTCACTAGCAAGGGCCTCCTATTTCATGGCTGCTGAATTCACTCCTTGCCCTCCCGTTGAGGCAGAGTTGGGTTCAAATATCTTTTCTTTCATTGTTTAAAAAGAAAATATGGTTCTGATGTTCAGTTCTAGCAGAGAGATGGTTAGATGAGGGAAGCAGGGAGCCAACAGAAGTTATATGAAGCCTCCTCTGCAAGGACATATTCCCAGTGGCCAAACGCACCAGCTTTTTGGACCTTACCTACCAGCCAGGTAAAGAGGCTGTATTGGAACTGATAATCAGGCCCTCTGCTTCTAGCCCTCAGAGTTGTGAAAAAACTAAACTTGAGTGCAGACTGATGCAGCATTGCCTTCTCAAATCTGCAGGCAGCTTGGAATGATAGTTAAAAATATAGTCCCCACCTCTGAACTATCTCCCTGCTTCTGATTTTAGCAGAAGTACTCAGCTCCTGTGCTTATCCCTTAATTCTGAACCACTCCCCCTCCCCCATTGTCAAAAGTCCCCTATTTAGTTGCCAAAAATCTCCAGCTTCCCCTCTTCAGGAGTGGCTCTAGCTTTTTTGCTGTCCCAATCATGGCAAGCAGGCTGCCTTCGGCGGCATGTCTGCGGGAGATCCGCCGGTCCTGTGGCTTTGGCGTACCTGCCGCCGAATTGCCGCCAAATCTACAGTACCGGTGGACCTCCTGCCGGTATGCCGCTGAAAGCAGCCTGACGGCCGCCCTTGCAGGGACTGGCAGGGCACCCCCCGCGGCTTGCCGCCCCAGGCACGCGCTTGGAGCCGCCGCTGCCCCTCTTCCAGCAGTTTACATGATAGTTAGGAAAATGCTGCAGTGCATCCAAAGCTAAAGGTGTGGGGACAATCAATTTTATTTTAAAAATAAAAGTACAGCATTGACTGAATTTCTGTACCTACTTCAATAAACACCTCCACTTTTATAATTCCACATGAAATGACTACAGAATTTCCAGATGTCCTAGAATCCAAGGACATTGCCATAAAAAATATTTCCAGCTTGTGTCAACCTACATAGGGTCTTGTCTAGCACCTATTCTAATAAAAACAAAAGGGGGGGGGACTGCATTGCTTTTCATTTGCCAAACAAACAATAAATTACACCTCTGACTGTGGAGGGGAACTCCGCTTACCCTAACCTAACCCCTGGGGAAGCTGCCATTCTATCCCTCTCTGTATCACTATCCAGTCTCCTTTCCCTGCCCTACCCAGTCCACTGTGCTCATCACATTCTCCCTCCACGTTCTCCCACATGTTCCCATATATTTCCTTCCTTTCACCTCAGTCTCCCACCCCTCAAAGCTTCATTTTCCACGTTTTCCTGCACGTCACCCTCAAGTCACCCTCCTTGGTCCTGTACAGTTTTCAAACCCTAGAATGCCAGGGGAGTGGAAAGGGGGAACCATCGTCACTGAGGGCAGCCTGGCTTCAGTCCCACTGTAAACCATGAGAGACAATGTCCATCTTTACTAAGGCTAGCCTCACTTCCATATCCAAAGGCTCTAGGAAAGTGGCAGTCACCTTAAGGCAAGGCAGCTTTCAATTTATAACATGGGAAAAGGGGACGGCCACTGCCAGAAATCAGTAAGGTTTGCTTGGAAGCCATGATTAACATCTGCCACGAGACTAGGCCGAATTCTCATAGCAGTACTGCACAAAAAACACAGTCAGCCACAGCAGCCAGCTCCTGCTGATCAGAAAAAAACACCAAAAAACCAAACCATGTTTCTTTTGTATTGTTCCCCAGCCTGAGATGTGCTCTCCCATGCTCTAGCCCCCATAAGACCCTCCTTTGTTGTAGGTTGTCTCTAGAGCACAGGCCCCATAACCCAGCCATTTACCTTTCATTCTTCCATCCTACAATGATATCTCATTCATGATGAAAGTAGCCGTTTCTATGACAGCAAATAGAACGCACGATGGCTTTGTTCAAACCACAACTTTTTAATTCACTCATTGATAGTTTCTGAGATAGCTTCATTTATTTCTCACCTGTGCCGGCTTCTCTTGGTATTACCCTTTCTCTGGCATCCTGACAATCTGGGATGCAAAGCTCTTCCTCTTGTTCCATCCGAGAGTTCACATCAGGTTTTGGAGTCTCAAATCCTGCCCATGGGAAAACAGTCCAGGCAATACCACGATTTGTTATGTATTTGTTGAGCATTTATTACAAATAAATTATCATAGATGTGAACCCAACCTGTTCTTTCATGGAGGCAGGGATTACAGAATGCCAACAGATGAGATTATGTCCACAGAAACCCACTGGGGAAGTAAAATGTGTAGCTGGAGTTATTTTGTTTCCCTTTTGGAGACTCAAGGATATCCACATATGGGGGACTAGGTAAGTCATGAGCAGTGCAAATGTTAATACACTTACCCATTTCTCAAAGTCGAGCACCTTCAGAGCTGGTGTTAGTCCCAGGGAAGGTGGACAGGGCAATTCTATGATTGTACTCCACAACTAAACCACAAGGATAAGGCTGAGATGTGACTACAGATCACCTCCTCCAATTAAAAGGGCAATTCAGAAAAATAGTGGTTGCATGGCAGTGACTATCTCTCACAAAGTTTCTGGGGACTACAAGGACCGAGCCCTTAGAAATCCAAGAGAAGAACCCTGAACCACAGCTTAACAAATTCTTGGGAGACCACACAGCTTTTAAGTAATGAGGGAAAATTAATCGTTACCCAGAGAGAAGTCTTCAAATTCTTCTGCATGACATCCCTGTAGAGCTCCCTCTGCCTTTTGTCCAGACGACCCCAGTCCTTCTTGGTGAAATACACAGCCACGTCTTCGAACGTCACTGGAATCTGAAACAGGTATTCCCTGTTCAATATATGCATATTCAGTGACAATCCTGCTGCTCGGTCACAGGCTGTACAGGCACAAGGTAAATCTAATTAGGGTTTGTTCTGTGATGAAGTGGAAGAAGAGAAGAAAGGAAAAGAGGAGAGGGAGTGTGTGCATGGGGGATAAAAAGGGGGGCAGGACAGGTTAGGGAAAAATGTGTTGGGGAAAAATGAAAGACAGAAGTGGGGGAGGGTCAGGTTGAAGAATAAGGAGAGAGATGGAGATTTAGAAAAATTCAAATGTAAAGAAGTCACCACATTAAGAGTCACTTGAAATAAAAAAATGTGGGGGACAGTCTATTTCTCTCTCTACCTTCTCCCTTGATAGCTTTTCTTCCTTCTCTTTGCTTTGGAAGTATTATTCTCGGTCAGCTCTTCATGGGCTCAAGCTTGGACCATCTCAGAGCTACATCCAGAATCAAGACCATTTTCAAAGTACCACCAGCATATTCCTCTTCAATGCACTATCACATTCCCTGAGAGAAGATTAGGCTTCCCCTCCCCAAGGCTATCATCTGATAGCACTCTGCTAGGGACTCAAGAACTGAAGGCTCAAGAAAGTAAATAAGCTGGCAATATTGTCTCATAGTCAGGACTCTTTCTAGACATGAGTATTCAACCAATACAAAATAAAATTAGTGGGTTCACCTCAGGTGGTAATGGAATTGTTTAGAGTACAAAAATACTTTATTTTACACATTCACTAACAATCTCTCCTTCACTCTCTCCATCACCTCACCTCTTCCCGCATCTGAATTAACATTCAGTGGTCCTTACCTTTTGCCCACATTTCCCAATCTCCTGATGAATTAGCTGGAAATCCTCCACAAGGGCAACAACCTCATCACATGTTTCTGGATGAAGTCTCTGGACCCATTTCTGGATTCCCTCAGGCAAGATGGTCAGGAATTACTCAAGAACCAGCAGCTCGATGATCTGCTCCTTTCTATGGAGGTCCGGCTGCAGCCACAGATGGGAAAGTTCACAGAGTCGGCTGTAAACCTCTTGGGGTCCTTCTGCTTCCTGATAGCAGCACTGTCTAAAGTGTCTGCAGTGCTTCTCCATGCTGATGCTGTACTGTTGCAGGGTGGCTTCCCTCTCATTACTGGAGTCAACTGTCCCAGATAGGGATAGAGTGGGTGTGTTTTCTGCTTGCGCTGTTTCCGCTGCTAGTCGATGGCTGAATACGGCTTGCTCCTCCATCTTTACTTCAGATTGCACCACTCAGTTTGGCAGTGTCTGTAACTGAAGGCCCACAGATGCAGTTACTCACTGCTGCATGTCTGTTGTCTGTCTTCATGAGGTTACTCCAGCTTGGGCCTATGCGCTAGTTGTCTCAGTTCTGCATCTCACTTGTATGCTTGGTGAAAAACATTCATCCTTGCGTCCCACAGTTAGGATCAGCTCCACTAACCATTTCCTGCTGCGCGTACCTTTCACGGTGGTTTGATGATTTGTAGGCTTGCACATCACACTCTGGAAATGAACTATTTAAACAAATCTAGATGGCTTTATTGGTCCAAGTGAAATTCACTCGCAAGAGGTGCTTCCTGCAGGCTTCAGGGAGGAAAGAAACAAAACTGAGAAAAGGAATGATACATTCAGAATCAGACCAGGCTCTCTCACCCACCCAACTCCAGGGAACCACGGAGAAGAAAGAGTTAATCTGCCTCCAATGATGGATTTCTGTTTCTTACTTTCACAGACTGCAAGAGGTTCAGCTCCATCAGTCTCTCTTCTGGATCTCTCAAGACAGCACTGAAATGATAAAAAGCTGAAGGCCCATAGCCTTCATTTAAATAGCCAGAACTTCATTTCATTCTCGCCAGAGAAAATCAAGAGCAACTCTACTGCACTCAATGGAGTCGCATCTGCATAAAACAGATACAAGAGGCGCATAGTGTATAAAGCCATGTAACTCACAACTCTCTTTAAATTTCTAAGGGGTCTGTCCAGGGCCGTCCCTAGCCATTTTGGTGCCCTACACAGCCCCCCCACGGGGTGTTTGTGGGGGGCCCCAGGCCTCCATGGGGGGGGGGGGCAGGAGCAGGCTTGAGGGAGAAAGGGGGGAACCGCCCCCCAGCACGAGCCGGCGGAGCGGAGTAGGTTGGAGCTGGGTCGCTCCACTTCCTGCCGCCTGGTGAGCGCAGGGCAGGCCCGACCCCGCACTCATGGGGTGGCGGGAAGTGGAGTGACCCGGCCCCAGCCCGCTCCGCTCCCCTGGCTCCCAGCCCTTGGGGTTTGGGGGAACCATCCCCCAGCACTCACTGGTGGCGCGGCTGGGAGCGGGCTTGGGCCCATTGTGTTAGGAGTCGTACAAACATGCCATAAATGACAGTTCTTACCCCAAAAAGACATTTGCTCTTTTCTGATTGGTTGTTTTCTTTAATCTAAATGAAAAGCAATTCAGAGGGCAAGTGTGTGTATAGAAAGAGAGCAGAGAAAGGAATGAAAGGGGCAGAGAAAACGGGCCAGGGGCGAGAGGCAAACAGAAGACTGGTCTGAAGATGGAAGAGAAAAAAGGGATAGGAGGGGACCTGCTGTACTTTCGGGGAAAGCACATAAAGGAAAGCATAAGAGAGAGAACTACCTTAAGTCCTGTAATGGGTCCCAGTTCCTATTCCTAAAGCTCCCAGCAGTTACTGCTTGCTCTCTCTCCCTCTCCTGGCTCCAACCGAGATGCTGTAATGAGTCTTCTTAGCATATGCGCAATGTTCCTCAGGGAGCATGTGACCAGGATTCATCACTGAATTTGGTCCGCTGTTCGGATCATTATTTTCCCTGGCCCGGGACAACCGGAGAAGGAGCTGGGTTGCCTGCCTCCTGCTCATAAAGATGCACATTACATTATTACCAACTCCAGGTCTGCTGACAGAAATTCTGTGCCCCAGGGCCTTCCCTGGGGGGGTGGGGCCCGGGGCAGAACTGACGAATCCATCACTTCTGGGATCGCCCGTCACTCCTAGGTGTGCATGACCACTCCAGGCCCCACGCTTTGGGGGGCCCCGCGGGCCGCCGTGATTGGCCAGTGCGGTCTCGTCCGCCTAGGAGCCCTGTGGCCTGCCTGAGCAATTGCCCCTCTTTGCCCCCCCCGGTCGGCGGGCCTGACCAACCCCAATGGTTCAAAAATCACAAGTTAGCCCCCAAAAGTCAGGAGACAGATTCTTTAGCCTTCAGTGTATGTCTGCTGTCCCACCATTGGTGTGATCAGTTCAGCTTTAAGATTCAACCTTACGGTAAATGCACACACAAGAGTATGAGCCACCTCCCTGGCTGCTTAGAGGGGAACTCCACTAATCTTCCCCTTACCTCCTGGATGGGGCAGCTGCCATTCTTCTCCAGCCCAATCCCTCTCCTTCCTCCATCCACAACCTCTCAGCCGCTCTCCTCTATCTCCTGCCTCCACCTGTCCCCCACATTCTTCTCTTTCCCCTCAGTCTTCTGCTATCTCAGATTTTCCCACCCTGTCCCCACATTCCCTTCCCTCAAGAGTATCCCTCCCCACCCCCCAAGCTTCTCCTGTCCCCCACATTCTCCTGTCCTCCAGCATCTCCTTGATTCCCCACAGCACTCTAAGCTGATTGGCACACTGTCTCTGTGTGTCCCCTAGATGTTCACCCGCTCCTCAATGAACTTCTCTACCTCCTGACAGCACAGTGTGTGGCATCTTCAGTAAGGGTAGCCTTGCCTCTAGTCCCACTGCAAACACTGTAAAGTGGTGGCCATCTGTACTAAGGGGAGCCTGGCATCAGTCCTGCTGAGAACAGGAGACAGTGGCCACCCTATAAAAGGGCAAGACTTTATCCTTAGTTCATGAGAGGCTTTGAAACAAAAACACCCATTACCCACCCCAGAACACACAATTCCTTCTCAAAAAGAGATCTTTCTGAGAGGTATATTATCTCACCATCAGGCAAGGGAGGCAAAGGGGCAGGTGCCCTCCCTACCTCCACTCCCAAATCTCTGCATCCTCCTTGCAGGAGACATCAGCATGAAGGCGAAGCAGCTGAAAAAAGGCTCCTGTGTAAGGTGCTTGCAATTCCATAGACAAGTCGAGAGATCCAGGCAGGACTTCCCTGCTCCTCTGCTCAAAGCTCAGGCTATTGCACCCAAGCAGAAATCTCTCTTTCCCCCTCGCCCCGGGCTACCAACTTCAGGCTCCCCATTCGGTTTAGAAAAGACCCTGACCCACCTCAGCTCCCCACTACGAGCTGCCCCTGAGTTGGCTCCCCCCGGCTCGTCTTCTCTTGCCTCTGCCTGCGGCGGTTCAGGCCTGGGTTCCCCTGGGTCTGCAGGCAGAGATTTCTTGCCTCCCTGCTGTTCCATTCTGCAGCCCTCCTACGACTCTCTCTGCTGTCTCCTCTTAGCCCTGACTCACCTCGCTGGGCTGGCAGCACGTGGGACCAGGGAAACCTCGTCCTCCTTGTTTGGGGCCGATGCTTCTTTGGAAACGGATTCAAGCACGCAACTCTAATGCACAACTGCTGCAGTGGGCTAAGTTACAAGTGAGGAGGACGGAGAGTTGGGGACAGGAAGTTCCTTTTATATTAATTTCCCCCCTTGCAGTAGTTCCTGGTCCTCTCTACAAAGGCGTACGAGCTCTGTGGTTTAACCCCGTCACTGCGCAGACAGACACTAGCAGAAGGGTTGCAGCTGCAATTCAGCTAGCGGAGAGACAGCATGTGCAGGTACTGAATGGGACCCCGTCTTCAGTGTAGGAGGGATGGCTGAGCAGCGATCTCAGAGCTGGGCTTTTTTGCCTCTATAAAGAAAGACCTTCCGTCTTTTCCTTCTGCTGCATCTGGTTTTAACCCACTGTTCGTGTGACCATACAAAAAAGCCACTTTGCTCAAATAAAAATGCCTCTGCCCCCCCCGCCCAACAAACTATTTTGCAAAGCACTGGTGTCTCAGTGCCGCTGGGGTAACTGCTACCCCCTCTGCCCCTGCTTGTGCCAGGGTTTTGCCCTCTGACACCCTCTGCCAGCACCTCACTCCTGGGCTTAACTCCGCCTCCTCCCCCCCATTCCTGATTTTGCCCTTTAGCCCCTCTCCTAATGCTGCCTCCAGCTGCTTGACCCCCCAGACCAATAAATTTTCACCCCCTGCTCAGACCCTGGCCACCCCCTCCTCCGATTCGCCCCCTTTGCCACTTTTTAACCCCTCTCAAAAGCAGTCCGCAGAAACTTACGGCTAATAAGGACAAGGTGAAGGGCAGTGGCTTCAGCAGATGTAGTGAGCGTGCTCATTGCTCAGTACACCGTAAGTAGCACATTCCTACGGAGAACACTTTAATACACTGCAACTCAGGTGACCCCTGGCCCTTCTCAGGATGTTTCTTACACTAGCACTGTCTGGGAACAATCTAGGGCTACGTCTTCACTACCCGCCGATCCGGCGGGTAGCAATCGGTTTATCGGGGATCGACTTACCGCGTCTCGTGAGGACGCGGTAAAATCGATCCCTGATCGTTCTGCCGTCGACTCCGGAAATCCACCTCGACAAGAGGCGGCAGCGGAGTCGGCGGCAGCGCGGCAGCGGTCGGCTTTCCCCCGTCCTCACCACCAGGTAAGCCGACCTAAAATACGCAACTTCAGCTACGGTATTCACGTAGCTGAAGTTGCGTATCTTAGGTCGGAACACCGCTGTAGTGTAGACCTAGCCTAGGAGAGGAAGAGAGCCAGCATGGGAATTACATATCCTGTAGCTTTGAGAATAAGAATTGACACTCATTATGGGACTATAAGGGTTGATCGGTTGATTCTGCCCAGGGCCATGGAGTAGGGTGGATGAGGGAGTTTGCTCTGTTCCTAAATATGTAATCTGTGGCTCATTTTAGTTTGTTTCTCTTCCCCAGTGAAGCCTGCAAGAATACCTCTCACTGCCCATGACCTTCACTTGCACCTGTATAATGTCTTGGATTGTCTAAAGAGTTTGTCTGTTATTAGGGTTCAGTTCTCTTATTGATTAGACATCAGATAACCTAGACCCAACCAGTCATTTTATTAATTAAAGGTATGATTTGCTCAGATGCTGGCTCAGGGTCTAACTAATCACCATATTTGGGGTGAGGAAGGAATTTCCCCCAGGTCAGATTGGCAAAGATCTAAGAGGGTTTTTTGCCTTCCTCTGTAGCAAGGGGCCTGGGTCACTTGCTGGGCTGAACTAGTGTAAATGGTGGATTCTCTGTAACTTGAAGTCTTTAACTGAAGATTTGAGGACTTCACTAACTCAGCCAGAGGCTATGGTCCTATGGCAGGAGTGGGTGGGTGAGGATTTGTGGCCTGTGATTTTCAGAAGGTCAGACTAGATGATCATGATAGTCTGTTCTGGTCTTAAAGTAGCTGAGTCTGTAAATCAGCACAATGCAGAGACCTTCGTACATTACCAGATCTGGAAGACAACCTCTTGTAGTGGTCAGCCTGTCTCATATTTATATTCAAGTTGTTTACAACAAAACAGGGTATTCCAGCATTACCAAAGATTTACACACCAGTTTGTGCCAGTTTTTTATCCTGTTTTGAACATGGTATTCCAGAAGTCAGCAAAGCTTAGAGACACCTGTACCTTGGTACAGTCTGCATGTTGGTCAAGCATCAACAAAATCATTTATCTTATCTTGTCATTTTGGCATGTCTCTGTTCCTGGCACAGAAATTACAACATTTCATATTTTCCCTTGGTTAAGGGCGAGCGAGCGAGTGAGACTCTCTCTTGGTTAAAGAGCTGAACATAAGTAAAAAGCATCCTGGGAAGAGTTTAACATGAATACAATTCATAGATATACAAAAATATACCAGATATTATATATATTAATATTGTATATTATATTGGCTGACACTATATTAACACAGTGTGCAGGAGCAGAGAAACTGCCTCCTGGCACAGTAGGGGTTAAAAAAAACCCTATGGATTCAGCTAGCCCCACCCTGCTATACCTGCAGTCAATGCCAGGCCTGGAGAGGGGAGAAAAGAAGGGAGCCTGGCT